ATGGATCCTTCCATTTTCTATCTCTTCTAAGTTTCCTAAATGATTTTCATTTTATAGTTTCTCAAAATAGTCTTTCTACCGATCATTTATTTCCTCATCTTTAACTAAAACCTTTGAATCCTCGCCCTTGATGAACTTAACTTGGTTAAAGTCTCTTGTTTTCCTTTCTCTAATTTTAGCTAATTTATAGATGTCTTTTTCTCCCTCTTTACTATCTAGTTTTTTTGTACAACTTGTCGTAGGCTTTTAACTTAGCGTCTTTAAATATCTCTTTAACATCCTTGTTAGCTAATTTATATCTTTCAAAGTTTTCTCTATTTCTATCATTTTGTCATCTTTTAAAGGATTCTTTCTTTACTTTAACTACCTCTTGTACGTCGACATTTTACCACCAAGTTTCTTTTCCCACAAGCACTCTACCCTTTGTCTCCCCAAGAACCTCTCTCGAAATTTTTTTAATGTCTTCCGTCATCCTACTCCACATAACGTTAGTCTCATCCTCTAGGATCCATAAAGCCTCTTTAAACATTCTACTCCTAAATAGTACTAATTTCTTATCTTTTAGATTCCACCATCTCATTCTTGTTTTTCTAATACATCTCCTTACTCTATGTTATCCTTTAATATATAAATCTAGGATTGTTAGCCTATGTTGAGTTGTTAAATTTTCTCCCAGGATAACCTTACAACATTTACATACTAATCGGTCTGTTCTTCTATTTAAGTAGTCTACTTGACTTTTGTTTGGTCCACTCTTTAAGGTTATTATATGTTCTTATTTTCTAAAGAAAGTGTTTGTCACTAAAAGGTCATATGTCATTGCAAGCTCTAAAATACTCTCTCCAGCTTCATTTCGATCACCATATCCATAACTACCATAACTCTCATATTGTGTCCTCTCTTTTCCTACATGTCCATTGAAATTTTCACCTATGATTATCTTTTCTCCTATAGGTATATATTGAACTAATTCATCCATTTGCTCCTAACATTATTTTTTAATATGTTCTTCTAACTCTACTTGAGGTGCATAAGCACTAATCACATTAATTATATTATCTCCGACTACAAATTTGATAGATATAATCATATTTTCTTTTCTTGTAACTGCTACAACGCTATCTTTTAGACCTTTATCTACAACTATTCCTACACCATTTCTTCATCTATCCTTTCTTGTATATTAAATCTTAAATCCAGTATTTTCTATCTCCCTTGCCTTGTCAACTACCCACTTAGTTTCTTGTAAGCATGCTTTACTAATTTTTCTCCTACTCATAGTGTTTACTAATTTCATTGTTTTGCCGGTGAGTGTACCTATGCTCTATGTTGCTAATCTAAGTCTATCATCGTGGACTAGCTTCCTTACCCCCCATGTTCATCCATGGCACAGAGACCCTTGCCTATTTATCATCGCTCATCGGCGTCCCTAACTTATTTGTCGAAACATGTCCGAGGCAAGCACAACGCCCCTAATTGTTTTTTCGAAATGCCCTGAGACCGGCGCAACCCATCACTTATGGAAACGACCTAACATTAGCGCATATATCATTGTTTGGACTCATAATAGTGGATCCGACAAAGTTTTACACTGGTTGTCAGCTACCTAATGCAACCCTCCTTCATTCCTTGAACATCTGTCCCATTATTTGAAAAATATAGTGTATTAAAAAAAGGTAAAAGAGAATGGGTTCCATGCTTTTACCATTATAAAAGCATTTTTTCATTTTTGTTTCCAAGATTACAAGTTTCTAAAGAAAATGAAGTATCTCACAATAACTCCTCCATCCATGTTTCACAATAAGAGGGATCCCAATGTAGTTCTTGCACTCAGGTTTTAACTCAACTCCGTCTCATAAGAGAGAATAGATTAAACTTTGCTTAACTTAAGATGCCTTCTATTGCTGGACATGATTCATTTGCTGAAGGCAGCCCATCATAATCAAAATCAGATAACAAGGTTGAGGGTTTCACAAGACTTTTACTAGATATCTGCTAGCAGTTGACTAAACCTTCATGTTATGTTAGATTAGAACATAACCCTTGAGAGTAATTTTGGTATTTTGTAGTTATATATATATTGGGATGTAGCTGTGTAACCCTAACACACTACAGTCTTCCCATAATCTCTTCTCTCTCGTAATTATCTTCTCTATCTTAATTCTCTTCTCTTTTCCTCTAAACCCTAACAATCTCGTGAAATAACTTGGTATCCGAGTGTCGATCGGATCTAACATCTCAAAAAGTGTCGGAACTCATTGGAGTTCACCGACAGTAACCAGCTTGTTCCCTGTCAGATTTTGACGTGCTGATGTCAGCACGACCTGTGTCAGAAAATTTCGAAAATCACATGTAGATTAAAAATATGATGCTGAGTATTATGGCAATTTTTCTCCCTTTTTTTGAAGCCATCTGATAAGTCGGTTGATGTTTTGAAGATTTTTTTGGTTTATTTTACTCCTGTGTTGTGATCTGGTTTCTGGGGTCATCTGGAAGGTTTTTTCTGGGCTAGATCTGTTCGGTTAGGGTTGACTAGAGTTTTTGAGTAAAGCCCACAGCCTCTTGTTGCATTTGGATTGGATTTGTGGAGAGTTTTTCCCTATTTTACATGCTGCCAGTGGTGTTTCTGGTCCTTCAGTGACTGTAGCTGGTCCCTACTGTTACACAGGGGAGACTCCTGGACTTCTGCCTTGCTTCGGGTTGCTGAATCAAGGCTATTTTGCTTCTGTTTTTCACTTCAGGTTGCTCTTTTTTTTGTTTCTGCCAGTGGTTTTTGTCAATCTGTATGCCAACGGCCATATTTTTGGCCTTTCTTGCTCTGCTTTGGTTCCTCATGCTATTGCTACTGTTGGGTAATTGCTCAGGCTGCTGGATGTTTGCTGGATGACTGCCCAGAATTTTTTTGGCCTTACTGCTGGGAGCTGTTTTTTCTACTGCTCAGTGTGACTTTGGCTATTTTTCTGGTTGTGGTGGCATATTTGGGTTGTGGCTCTTGCAAGCAACCCTTCTCTCCAAATTAATCCCAAGAAGCTAGATGGAAGCAATTATCTAGCATGGTCATGGGCCTGTTTGTTATCAATTCAAGGTATCTCTTTCAATGGGTATTTAACTGAAGAGACTAAGAAACCTAGTGAGACTAGTGCTACCTTAAAGAAGTGGACATCTGACAATACCTTGGTTATATCTTGGTTGCCTAATTCCATGCAACCCCCTATTAGTCGTGGTTTTTTGTAACTTGATACAATCCATAAAATTTAGATTGTCATTGCCTACACATATTCTCAGAGGAACAACAATGCAAAGGCATATGATCTTCGCAAGAAAGTTCAGGAGACTAACCAGAAGGATAAAACAGTTGCAATGTACTATGCAGAGTTAATTACTTTTTGGCTTGAGCTTCAACTACTATCAGAGTTTCCTGGCAGAATGTATAATGATGCTATGAAATTTCAGCAGATGGTGGAGAAGGAACGAGTCTATGACTTTCTTCCTGGTCTTAATGTTGAGTATGATCAGATTCGAGTTTATATTTTGGGCCGTAGTCCATTTCCTAGTTTACAAGAGACCTATGCCCATGTTCAGTGGGAGGAGAGCAAAAGGATTGCTATGGTTTATGCTCCTACTCAGGAATAGTATGCATTGGTTGCTATCCCTTAACGTGACATGAGTTTAATTTTGCCCAAGTCTACTGAGACGAGCGACAATGTTTCTAAGGATACCTTAAAGTGTGTCTATTGTAGGAAGACCAAGAATACTAGAGAGTTTTGCAAAAGGCAGACTGGACCTCCTACATGTGGTTGACGTGGTGAGTGAGGGAGTAATATGCGATCTCATGCACACATGACTGAATTTTCAAAGCCTCCATCTCAATCTACTCTAATTTTTCTCAAGATGAGATACAGACTATTAGGCGTCCGATGGCATAGCTTAATGTTTCTTCTACTATAGCTCTTCACCATACTTCTTCTTCCAACTTTGCTCATATAGCTATATCTAATGTGTTTACTGCATCATCCTCATATGCTCCTTGAATAATAGATTCTTCAGCCATGGACCACATGACATGTTCTTCGATTCTTTTCTCTTCATACTCTGCATGTTCAGGCACAAATAAAGTCAAGGTGGCACATGGATCCGTATCCTCAATTTGTGGGAAAGGTTCAATTAATTGCTCACCCAACTTGTCACTCTCTTCTATTCTCTATGTTCACAATTTCTCTACTAACTTATTGTCTGCTAGTGGTATTACATTTGAAATTTAGTCTTAGGGTTTAGAACGAAGAACAAGCAAGGGAGAAAGAGATGAAATAGATTAGAGAAATTAGGGTTTTGAAGAATGAGAGTTCACCTAACTCTCTTCTCATCATCCATTTTTATATTAACTTATAATGGTTCTATATTTTAACTTGACACATTTATTACAGGATGATGGTTTTGCTTGTAACTATTGTTTGGATCCTTGTCCAAACTTCCCAATATTAGAAATTATTTTCAAGAACGATGCACCAACCCCAAGTCAACACACATTGATAGCAATGTTGGATCATGCCCATCAGTAAATTCGAGGAGGAGGGAAGATGATGTCATAGTTATTGATGATGATTGACCTCGTCCTTTGTCATGTAACAAAAACTCGAGGTGTATGCACTTGGGCAAACTCACCCAGGTGAACCTAAAAGCCAATGACTTATTTCTTTAGTTCATACATCATTTGATAGAGGCAGAGTTGTTTGATCACTCTAGTATTGTTGTATGTTTTTAGTGTAGGTTTATGTATTATGTTGGGTTTGTGGGTTTAATTATGTTGTGTGTGGCATTTGTTTGCTATGTTCTTAATTTGTGCTCAAGGTTGTATTTGATTGAATCTGATTCTCAAGTATTAGTTCAAATTGTTTTGGGGAAGACAGTAGTGCTATTTTGTAATTTTTTCAGTTCATTTTTGGGTGCTTATTTGTTTTGGATAACGTGTTTATCAAGTCCAGGTAGCAATTCCTATCATAATGGCTCAACTTTTAATTTATCCTAAGCATGTCTCCCATCATAATATAGAGAAATTAAGGCAGTGTGTCCGTAATGGGGCTAATAAATACCCAGGTGCAAGATTTCTCAAAAAGCCTGATGTTACCTCAATGTAAGGATTCTTATTTGTCATTATTTTCCACATTTGTGTATGCTTTGCATTAATATAGGTCACTTGGGGGGTTTCTTTTCAAGGTTAGGTTGAAACAACAAGATGGAGTGGATATTTATAACTTCCTTCATTTGCTGAGGAGCATTTCCAAAGGCCAAGAAATGAGTACTGCTTGTCTTGGTGCAGAAATTGATGACCTTGAACTGGACGATGAAAATATGGAATTGGGTTTGTCCCCAGAGCATATTTCTAGTTTTGGTAAGCATGTATTCGAAGATAGTGCTGAATTTGATACTAACATAGACAATCAAAAAATGGAAGGGATCAAAACTAGTGAATCAAGTTGGGAAAAAATTAGAAGGATCAAAACCCAGTTGGAGTGAAGCAAAACAACGCATGTAGTGTGTTTAAATCTCTGCCTTTAACCCTTCTCAATCTCATGATTCACTTGCCTAGAAAATTCTCCTAAAAATTTAACCCTTAACATCTCCGATCTGGTGTCTGTCTGTCTCTCTCTCTCTCTCTAAGTTTGGATTGCTGAGAGCGAGCCATGAGAGCATCCCTTTTCTTTCTCACTTGCTTAACCCTCCTGGTCGCTTATGTTCATCAATTTCAAGCTCATGCTGCTCCAGCAGGTAATACCCATTTCTCTATTTACACATATACTACTCATAGTTAATAAGCATTCTGTGATATAGTTGATTTGTTTCTGTGATGGTTAAGCTTATTTTATTTTGTTTTTATTTATATGTATATGAACGTGTTAATGGTCTTGCTAACACAGCGCCCTTGATAAAGCACTTGTCCTCTCTTATCAAATGGACGGTTAGGTCTTCCTCCAAAACACCCCTATCAGGTGAATCAACGTTTTCACTAATGTTCTCAAATTAAATTGGGTGTTTACAAGGATATTTATATGTGGTTGTGTGTGTGTGATTAACGAAGAATTTAATAGTATATCTGTTGATGCAATAGTGAATAGGCTTTGTTTTGATGTTATGTAGATGGAAATGTACTTCAATTTGAAAATGGGTACTCAGTTGAAACTATGGTGGAAGGAAATGCACTTGGGGTCATGCCTTACTAAATCCGTGTATCAGAAGATGGGGAACTAGTTGCTGTTGATGCATTAAATAGCAACATTGTTCGAATTACTCCACCATTGTCCCAATGTAAGCTTATGTCTTTATTTTCTATTGCGTTATTGTCCATTAGATTACGATTCACTAGCCCATGATAAATATTATTATTGTTTATCTCTTGTCATGGCTCTCCTCAAATTAACCAACAGTTGGCCTCAGGTGAGTGGAGTATTTTTATCCTTTTCCAAAATCTTAGATTAGAATTGGGTTTAGTGTTTTTTCATAAACTTTTATAGCAACCAGACAGTATTAGGGTCGTTGAGTAAAAAAATAATTCTAAATTTGTGTATTAAAGGTAATGTCTTGGTTTTCATCTAAATTGGCTTATCCTTAGGTGTTGTCTTTTCGGTATCTCTATTGCTGCAGATAGTAGGGCAAGATTGGTTGCTGGGTCATTTCAGGGTTACACAGGGCATGTTGATGGAAAACCAAGTGATGCTCGTTTTAACCATCCGAAAGGGGTAACAATGGATGATGAGGGGAATGTATATGTTGCTGATACCTCAAATATATCCTTTGGGTTGCATTCCTTTGCCTATTTGCCTTTACTTTTGGAACTTGGCCGAGTATATTTTGAGAAGGTGATAATAGGATTTTGATTAGAGGTGTCAAGAGATAGAATTTGGATTGGATTTAAGTATTAGATAGATTTTGTTTGCACAAATATCTGGAGCCATTAAAAGTAATAAATCTAATTCGAATAACAAAATACAAGCTAAATTTTAGTAAAATAAATGAGTTTTAATTCAGTTCATAGTGTACAAGTGTATAATCAGAAAAGAGTATTTATTCATATGTGAATAATGAGATTTGAATTCATACAAAATTTATACAAAAGTATGATAATTTGACGAGCCTAATCTAATAGCCATTACATTGTTGATGAGTTTCAAAAGCTCATTGTGACAAAAATGGAAAGTGAAATAGTCTACACTTTTTGGAGTATTTTAATTCTATGCCCATGCCTTGTGTGCTTGGCATTGAGCATGCTTGTTAAAAGGAGGCATTGTAATCAAGCATGTGTATAGAAAATGAATGTTGTGGCTCTTGGATTGGCTAATCAGGCTGTGCAGATGGGTTTTTCGGAGGACCATTGCTGCATGCTGCTTTATCATATTGCTGTACAGGTAGGCCTTTTGCCATTAATGCCTTACAGTCATGAAATTAGTTGCCATTGTGATGGGTAGGGTATGAACTGCATAGTTTCAGTGAGGGTAGTAAATTCAGATTATGGTTATGTAATAGTAGTAGGTAGTTATCTCCTATTCAATAAATGAGTCTTGTTTTAGCAGTAGAAACTGGTTCTTCAATTCTGCTTTGGATTGGTTGCATCCACTTGTGTTGTTCTAGTGGTCTCAAAAGGATTAGTAGCCTATTATGAGTATTTTTTCTGTTTTTTTTTTCTGCGGTGAGTGCTAATCTGTTTGGCTGTAATTTCGTTTTGGTGCACAAACTGGATAGGCTCTTTTCTGAATACTCGAAAATGCTCCATGGGAAATTGGTTAGTCAGTCATATTCTTTCTCCATTACAATGTCTTCACTGGCAAAGTGCCCCACCCCATGTATTTATATTTCTCTGCTAATAATTTTTCTCCTTTGTCTGGCAGGTTGCTTGTGCAACAGGATGAGAAAGGTTTGCCTATGTTAAGGAAAAAGAAATTTGTGGTTTTTGATGATAAGGGCTAATGGAGCTTTGGCGATGGGTTTTAGTGTTGATTTGTTGGAAAGATAGCTGGAATGGAGATTATGGACTGAATGGTTTTGCTGGTACCCTGCTGATCTAGCTACTGCAGCTTCCTGGCCTGATTAGGAATGTTTAACAGACACGAAAAATAAGTAGAAGCCTCCTGCTCATTTTTTTTTTTTTGACATTTTACTTGATAAGGCGCTTGTTCCTTATTTTTAGTTCGGTTTTATAAGGCTGCTTTGCCTTGTTTGCTTCCTGTAATGACTCTGATTATTGTAAATAAATAAATATTTTTTTGGAATATATACATATATAACTTTCCTTATTTTTATATGTTTTTATGTATATGTGAAAAATGTATAATTTATTAGGCTTCGATAGGTTAACCAAACATAAGATAGGATTAATTTGGATTGGAATGGATAAAGTTATGGGTAGAATGGTAAACTACTACAAAATTATTTGGTAATCTATGGGGTCCACTGAATTATACATTTATTTGTCAAACAAAGGTTAGGATTGGATATAATCTTGGGTTAGGATTTTAAAGTGGACGAGTGAGTTTGACTTGGATGGGTTAGGATATAAAAAAACAAATCTTACCTTATTTAATCCCATTACCCAAACACACCTATAGCGTAAACGTCTCAAGTCCTTAATCTCAAATTCTTTAGCAAGGTAGACTTTTAGTTTGGCCACTTCCTCCACATCGTCACCTGTGTCATCAACATATACTATAAGAACTGAGATCTTCCCACTCCTTTATTTGATGAATATCATGTCATCTGCATGACTTTGCTTATACCCAAACTTGACGATTGCCTTATGGAATCTATCGAACCAGGCTCTTGGAGACCATTTTAATTCATAAAGAGATTTTTTTAACTTACATACTTTTTCCTCTATTGCAAGAGAAGAGAGGCCTGAAGGAGTATCCATGTACACTTCATTCTCCAAGCCTCCATGAAGAAATGCATTTTTTACATCCAACTGTTATAGATCTCACCCCAAATTGGCAGCACAAGAAAGAATGACCTAAACAGGATTCATCTTAGCTACATGGGCAAAAGTGTCCTCATAGTCAACGACATATATTTGAGTAAACCCCTTAACTACTAGTCTTGCCTTGTATCTACGTTGAATCGTCTGCATTCTACTTAATAGTATACACCCACTTATAGCCTACTGATTTTTTTCTCAACTGGAAGAGCACAAACTCCCAAGATAATAAATCTAATATACACTTCCGTTGGCTCAAACTAATAATACCTTCCTTCGACCGAGCAATTTCAATCCTAAGAAAATACCATAGAACCCCCAAGTGTTTGGTAGAAAATTGTTTATCCAAATGAATCTTATAGTGAGCAACATCATCTGAGTCATCACCGCTAATGAAAATGTCATCAACATACACAATAAGAATAATAACACTAGTGAAAGAACAACGAATAAAAACTAAATGGCCTGAAGTAGAACGTTGAAAATCATACTGAAGTACAACAGTATTGAAGTTATCAAACCAAGTACATGATGATTATTTTAGACCATATAGTGCTTTCTTTAAACAACACACTACCTGTTCCTTACCAAATACAACATAACCTTGAGGTCGTACCATATATATCACCTCCGACAGATCTTCATGTTAAAAAGCATTCTTGATGTCCAATTGATACAAAGGCCAATCACAACTCACTACAACCGAAATAATAATTCTAATAGAGTTAAGACGAGTAAAAAGAGAAAAAGTCTCACAGTAATCAAAACCATATGTCTGGGTGTAGCATCTTGCAACTAGACGTGCCTTCAAACTCTCAACTGAACCATCAATGTAGACCCAATGACATCTGACAAGCTATTTATCAGAGAAAAGAGAAGTAAGGTCCCATGTTTGATTCTTCATTATGGGCATTCATTTCCTCATCCATAATCAGTTTCCAACTAGGAGATACCAATACTTGTTTCAAAGAACTAGGAACAAATACCGAAGGTAGAGTTGATGCAAAGCAATGAAAATATGGTGAAAGTCAATGCAAATAAAAAAAAATAGAAATGGTATGCTTTGTACAATTACGGGTACCTTTTCTTAATGCAATAGGCAAATTAGAAGCTAATGAACTAGTTGGCTGCTCAAGGGCAGGACCTCAATAGAATCAAGTGATGGTTGCGGCAACTGGAGCATATGGAACAACTGGACTATCCTTTGAACGATGATAAACCTACAAGGGAGGAAGACAATGACTTGGGGAGGAAGAAGATACCTATTCTGGCACAATAGGCAACAAAAGCTCTCCCTAACTGGAAAATACTAAATCTGGGAAAAATGTATCGCCTGATATAGAAAATGAGGAGGATGACTCAAAAAAGGTGACATTAACACTGATATAGCATCGACAAGAAAAAGAGTCATAGTAACGATAATTTTTTTGAGTACGAGAAAATTCCAAAAAGACACTTAATCGAGTGAGGCAAAATTTTATCCCTACCCAAAACAAGGAGATGAACAAATGCAACACAACCAAAGACATTAGGAGTGATATCAAATGACAATTTATCAGGATAAAACATCGAGAAGGGAGATTTGTTGACCAAACTAGGGGTAGACATTCGATTAATAAGATAAACTGAAGTAAAAACATCATTAACTCAATATGGTTTTGTTGGGAGGTATGTGGTCAAATGCTTTGATGGATAATGTCATGATCAGCACAAAAGATTTTCATAAATAATCGAGTATACTCAAGGGCATCGATAGACTGAAGTTCTTCAATACGAAAACCAAATTAAGTTAGAATTTCATCATAAAACGTGGTAAAGACATTGGATAACTCAGATCAGTCTTTTATAAGAACTAACTAAGTCATACGAGAGAAATCACAACAAAAATCACAAATATCGGTATGAACAACATGAAAAGGACTAGATTGACAATTTGAAGAGCTAGTTGACAAGCTTCACATTCTAACATAGAATACGAACTCAAACCAGGCATGACTTAACATAATTTTTGCAATGAAGGATGAGCTAGTCGAAAACGCAGTCGGAGAGGAGACACAGTTGCACTTAAGGCAGAAATGGAACTTTCGTGATCCAAGTAATAAAGGTCATTGCACTCATATCTAACAATAATCACCTTTTTCATCTTGAGATCCTAAAAAACACAAGAAGATAGAGAGAAGGTTACTAAACACCGTAAAGAGTTAGTTAACTAACTCACAAATAACAACTTATAAAAAAATGTGCAACAAGGATTGAGTGGGACTTAGATCACCAGTTTCATGTACCGATCGAAAGGGACCATAAGCTAACACAATAGATGAGTTTGACACACGAAAGTTAGAGAATTGAGACGACATACTAGACATATAAGCACTAACTCTTGAATCAATGATCCAAGAAGGCGAAGAAGGCAGAGTAACCATACATGTTGTGGTACATCCATTAGCAACATTGGCAGTAGAAGCAGACAAACTTGAAGAGAGTGAAGACAACTTGTAAATGAGTTATGTAAACCGAGAACAAAGATCATCATGAGAGCCACAAAAAATACCATATACTCGGGAGAAAAAATTGAGCCAAGCCATATCACTTTTGATCATCTTTCCAGCAATGATGTCATCATTTTGACAATGACATCAGCCACTCCAGCAGGTGTCCAAGCCTTTCCTAAGTGTCCTAGTAACTTTAAATTTTCAATAGCTAGCTCTGATACCAAGTTGAAGTTTAATTTTAGAGTTTAAAATAGAGAAGATGCAAGAGAGAAGGATGAAAGAGAATAAAGCAATTAGGGTTTTGAAGAATGAGATTTCACCTAACTCTCCTCTCATCACCCATATTTATATTAATTCAAAAATCATAATATGCTACAAATTACAATTATGCCCCTAATTAAAATATCCTAACATTCTGCAA